CATTTAACTCTGCAGGTACTGATGCTAAATCTAAACCCAATAAAAACATGCTTTATCGTTGGCATTGTTCATTAAATGGTGCATTACTGATGTATTAAAATTAAATAAGTACACTGAATGGTATTGTATTAGCGATTAGGTGATACATTCAGCCAGTACCTTTAATTTTAATACTTTGTTAGAGTATTTTCTCCACCACTGGTCACAGCATTATTAAAATCCAGTTATATCAGTGAATGTATGTCAAGTGTAATTGTACGCACGTTAAAAACGTGACACAATAACAGAATACTGGCTTCACACGGACAAAGTGAAATAAAGAGAACGTGTGGAAGGCTTCGCTGTGCCTCCTGCTGTCTTGGGTGACGGTGGCTAGCCACCGCTGCTAACTCCTCCAGCGTCTCAGGCTGCGGGGATGTGGGCGGGGCTAATGCTGAGGCACTCCACTAGTTCAGCCTGATGTTTGGAAAATCATGGCAAACCATGGAGTGGACAACTTTCATGAACCTGTTGAACAGATTCTACAGTTAGCAGAAGATGGAACGTAGATCACAGTTGGACCCGGTCCAGTCATCCAGAGCTAAAACCTGCATCCTGCTCCAACACCTGAATCCAATGAGCGGCTCACTACCAGGCCTGTTCTGAGGGGATTGATGCCGGTCTGTTGGGGTCAGGAGCTGCAGGCTGGACTTGAGCAGCTGTGATCTGGACTAAACTTTTAGCTCAGTTCAACAGATCAGGGTTATCCCCGCCCCTCGACTCTGATGGGCAAGTTTGACACATAAAATTATCTTTTCATTATTTTGTCTATTACATTTTAAGTTTTACTTCATGACACATTTAATTAATGACTGAATGTAGTTATTTATTTTGGGTGACCAAATTTGAGAACCTCTAGAACAGAGATGGATCAGAAGATGATTCATGTTTTCACTCAGATAAAAACAGTGGAAATAAAATGATTTGATGCACAGACTCTAAATGTGTAAATAGGTAATAGGTAACTGAATGAAACATTCATTAGTATTTATTGACTTATAATCAGTTTGTGTTAAATTTCCTACTTTAATTACAAATAAGGAATTAACCCGACTCTAGTCAGCCAATCAGAACCGACAGTGGCTGTTCAGGGAGGAAGAGGAAGCGATGAAGAGGATGGTCATTAAACACACCAGACTCTTCTTCTTCATGAACCTTTTATATTTGTGGTTCTGCAGGCAGGAAGTGAACAGAACAGGAAGTAGAAACAATAAATAAGACACTTGAGCTGCACTGATGCAGAACTAACGTTAAAATGTTAAAAAAGTTACTAAGCAACAGCGACGAGCTGATGTCATCAATCAGATGATATTTGGTTGAATCTCATTCATGGTCAGGTTTCATTTGTGCATCATCCTAGATGAGAATGTTTTGGACACAAAGCCCCGCCCCCTCTGAGAGGAGGAGGGGGGTCAAGGAGCCCCGCCCCCTCTGCGAGGAGGAGGGGTCACGGAGCCCCACCCCCTCCGCGAGGAGGAGGGGGGGTCACGGAGCCCCACCCCCTCCGAGAGGAGGAGGGGGGTCACGGAGCCCCGCCCCCTCCGCGAGGAGGAGGGGGGTCACGGAGCCCCGCCCCCCCCGCGAGGAGGAGGGGGGGACAGCGAGGCCCACCCCCTCCGACAGGGG